CGGCGACACTGCCGTTCCGACGATGCATCCAACAACACCTCTCTCGCCGGACCCCATTGCATTCGCTCCACCGACGCAGGAGCCATCCAACGCTGCTGTCACCGCGCCACCGATTGTCATTACCGAACCACCAGTCGCTGCTGTTTCTGTGCCGCCCGCTGCTGTCACCATGCAACCTGCCGAGCTTGTTTCTGTCTCACCTGCGGTCCCTTTGGCCGAACCGACTGCTGAACTCCCACGATGTGGAGTTGATACGACCAGCCCCTCCGATCCACCGCCGAGCAACCCTTTAGGCTCGGGGTACGGGTCCGCGACTTGGCTATCTGTTTTGGCACTACAGTGGGAGGAAACGAATCTGAAGTTGACGGAGATCTTGAAAAAGGTTGGCAGCCTTGATGACCGCGTCTCCGATCTCGAAAAGAATAGTGCACGATATTGGGCTTACACTAGAGACTGGAATCGGGTGGAACGACAACTCTATGGGCGTCAAGATACTCTCTTGACAGCCCAACTTCCCCGATTCCCCAGCGGTCTTTGCCCGCCTCAGGTCCGGTGTTTCCCACCTTTGCCACCCCATGTGCCGACGTCTGTTGTTGCTGCTCCCTTTGCTCCGGTTCTCCACATTCCTGCTGTTGCTCCATTGCCTATCACCACTGCCATTGTTCCTGCCGTTGCTGTTTCAGTTCCTGCTCCGATTGTCCAAAGCTCCGAGGCGCCAGGTGCATCCACTGTTTGCCCACAGTGAGCAGTTTCGMAGATATGGTTAAATTCTCAACTTTTGATCCCACCTCTTTAAACATTATTTTTGGATATAACTCTTGGGTACAGATACATTTTTCATTCCGTCTTTTGTGTATGCTTTGCGGAATGCTATTTTCTTTTGTGTGATTATTTATGMTAYGGGTGTTGGATTTCCTTTTGTTTTGTCTAGTTCCATTRTTCATTTCAGGTACAATTTGCTTGGATGATTTTTCGTAGTGCTAAAGTTAAAAGGATGTAGGCCCTCCTTTTGTTTTTAAACYCAAACACTTTTCCCCTTGCACCCAACCCGTAACCTTTTGGTCCCTTTGGCAACAATGGGGACATTGTTATTATCAAGTTTGGGGGGATGTGTCCAAAAAAAAAAATATATATATATATATATATATATACCTTCGAAAAATTGGGAGGTATGAAAAAGAAAAAAAAAGAGAAAAAGAAGAAAACAAAACAAAAAAAATAAAATAATCGGTCTTCGGAAAATTGGGAGACGAAAATAAAAAGTCCGGTACTCCAAAGGGCAAGGTTATGCCAAGATATGGGTCACGAACTTTTTCCTTGTACTCAAAAGTGAATCATTGAGAACTTTTGTTTCAAACCCTTTTGTAGTATAGGATAAGTTTGGGGGAGGGATACACGTTATCATTGCCAAAAACACTAACCCGAAAGCCCTACTGATTAACGGCAACACTACGAAGATCAAGCAAGAAAGTTGTACATCCTCTTCACTAGACAAATTTCCAACACCTTCCGTAAGTGTTTCGTTCTTGTTCCTTTCTTTTTGTGTCTTTTTAATTATTTTCTTTTACTTGAGGACAAGTAATACCTCAAGTTTGGGGGTGTGATAACTCTCATTTTGTTAGAGTTATTTGTTGTTTTATACCCCTATTTTATTGTATCTTTGGTACCCATTTTGCTCATATTCTATGTTTTTGGTCCAAAATATGTTAAGAGGTGATGAAAGGTTAAGAATTTAATTATTGTCTAAAAAACTCATTATTGTTGGTAAATTTTGCATCTAGTTGGATTTGAACAAAATTATGATATTCATGTTATTGGGTATTATTGAGATTTAATGCCAAGTTCAAATCTAATTACTTGGTTGCATGGAAGATTGAACCTAGTTATGGGATGATGAGACTTGGATGAGTTCATTTTGTACCATGATGTAATGGCTTTTCCATCACATTTATTGGTTGTACCTTCACCTTTTGCAACCTATCAAGAGGAGGTGACTTGGTCATGATTGAAGAAGACATGTGGTGATGGGTGGTCATTACCCATTGGACAAAGAGTTTGGGTCCCACATTTCCCCCTATATATTTGAAGGCATCTCCAATCCATTTAAACACCAACTTTT